TCCTCATATCAGTTTTGTACATATTTTGTTAGATTCATACCTAAGTATATAGTGTTAATGTGAATGGTTTCATATTTTTTATTTCAAATTTCAAATTCATTCTAAACATGAATCAGGCCACTTCCTGGCCCTCCAGCAACTTCCCATTGAACTTAAACTCCCACCTCCTTCCCTGACCAGTCCTGCCCTACCTCATTTTTCCTAAGCCCTCCCCAGCTCAGGGCCCTGCTACTGCACTAGAAAGGACAGAACAGAAGCTCTGAATAACTTCAGTTCCCACTGAGTCTGTTACAAAGCTCCAAGGGATTTGTAACTTCTAGCTCCATGGCTGGCCGTTGACCATTATTTTTCATAATTAAGTTTCTGGTCAGTTTCTTTAAGCTCTGAAGCACCGGAAGGTAATAAATTTAGGAGTCCAGAGCCTGGGTCTGCAGCCCTGCCTCTCCGTGTGCCTCAGTTTCCCCAAGCAAGCTCAGCCTCCCTCCATTGCCACCCTCTCCAGAGTCGTCCCGAGAATCAAACAGCACAAATGTATGTGAAATGCTTCCTACACCATTAAGCTATACACAAATGTCCAGGATCCCTGGAACGTCTCCAGGCCCAGGAAGGCGGTATTTCCCATGAGCGCGTGGATTGGACTGACTTCGAACAACACCATTTTCAAAGCACTTGGCCACCTGGCACTGTTTTCAGCGCTCAGCTGGGAGACAAGTGACCATAAATCCTTTTCTAGAGGCAGCCTGACGCGGTAACACTAACACACAAAAACAGTGACACGCACATCCTCCAGTGATGACATCCCGGGAAGACAAGTGTGAAAAAGTCTGCTGGGGGTGTTTGTGCTCCAGCTTCTCCAGGCAGCCAAGGCCCCTCGAAGACATTTCCCCAGCTCGGCCCGCCCCTCCCCCTTTCTGTCTCCAGCCCTTCCCGGGTCTGGGCCCCTGCAACCATTTCTTGTCACTGCTGAACAATAGGCCTTGCTAGCAGCTGGCAGCTTGGCTTCCCCGCCTGCCAGGGGAGGGAGGGAGGGAGGGAGGGAAGCAGGGGCGGGCTGTGGGACTGGGACAGCCAGCCTGCCGCAAGGGGATTCCCAGCTCCGGGGACGGTGTGTGTGCCTTCCCGGTCTTGCACACCAGCAGCCGGGAAGGCTGGCACTGGGGGACTTAGAGCAGCAGCTCTCCTCCCACCTGAGCGATTCCATAAGATCCCGAGGCCTAGGGCTCCGTGCCCAGAGATGCTGGCGGAGGCCCCCATGCTTCCAGCTTGCAGCCAAGAAGAACCATGGCCCGAAGCATGTGGCATGCGTGTGCCTCCTTCCTTTGCCACCCAGCCAACTGAGTCCCTGAGAGGGGAAGTAGCCGACCCAAGGTCACACAGAGACTTCAGCCCTGTAAGAGCAGTCCCAGGTCCTGGTTCACTGCTGGTCCCACTGGGACATCTTCCTCTCTTGTCCCACTGGCTAATGCTTCAGTGTGCCAGGAGGGAGCCATGCCCCTGTGGAGAAGAAGAGGGGTGAAGTGGCTTGCCCAAGGTCAGGCAAGTGACAGAGGTGAAGCTTGGATTGGGACACCTGCTCAGCCTCCAGCCGGCAGCCTGCAGGTGGACTTGGATGACACCAGGAGCGAGGATGGGTGACGGGAGAGTGTGCTGAAGGGGTTATAAGGGTCAGAGAGGCCTGGCCTGCAATCCCAGCTCTGCCACATGCCAGCTGTGTGACCTCTGGGCGGTTGCTTAGCCTCTCTGAGTCTGGACTCCCTCCTCTGTAAAGCAGAGGTGGTAAGATAAACCTCAAAGGGCCCGGGCAGAGTCCACGAGATCCCATACACGGCACTCAGTGGTGTCTGGCTCGTGTGAGTGCTCGGGAAGTGGTAATCCGGAATCTCCACCTTCAGTTAAGATTCCTTTCCAGGAGGAGCAAACATACATTAAAAGCAAAGACAGAGGAGACAATAGGGACTCTGGGACCCCAGATTGCCACACAAGCTTGGAGCACAGTGTCCTCAGTAAATACATAGCTGAGAGTCATGACCACAAGTGTGGAAATGGTGGTGGTCCCACAAAACGTGCCCTCAGCATTAAGATGCCCCAGGTTTGCTTAATGGCCCAACCTAAGACCCCACACCAAGGGGAGGCCTGGATTTTAGCCTTGCCGCTCTCAGGTTAGCTAGAGCCAACATTTGTGGACGTCTTGTTTTAATTCCCTAGAACTGTTATAAGTGCTTTACATGTATGGACTCCTTTAATCCCTATCCTTGCATGAGATAAGCTCATTTACTACCCTCATCTAACAGATGAGAAAGCTGAGGCATAGAGAGGTTCGGGAACTTGCCCAAGGTTACAGGCTGTCAATGATGGAGCCAGGCTTCAAACTCAGGTGGTCCAGTTACAGAGCCAAGCTCTGAACCTCCATGCTATGCTCGCCCCCCTTAAACAAGAATCACTTCCCCTCTCTGTGTTTCAGCTTTCACATCTGTAAAATGGGGCCCTTTCCTTCCTAGGTGTTAAGCGCTCTGAAGATGTCCATCCTCGCGGGGCTTTTCTGGCTCCTCCGCCCTCTCGGACCCTCGCATCCCCACCTCGCACTCTTTGTCCTTGGGATCCCTGCCCTCACCTCTGTACTGTACTCGCTTTCCAGACCCCTCTCCAGACGTCCCAGTCTGTGTAAGCCCCTGAGCACAGCAAGTCTGGCCTGGTCTCAACTATGGTCAGACCCTGTTCTAAGCATTGCATGGTTTGCAAAGATCAAGGTTTGGTAAACTGTTTCTGTTAAAGGCCAAAGAGCAAACATTTTAGTCTTTGAGGGCCTTACGGTCTCTGTGTCACTGTAGTAGGACAGCAGCCATAGATAATACACACATAAATGAATGCGGCCGTGTTCCAATAAAATTCACACAAACAGGCAGTGGGCAGGATTTGGCCCAAGGGCCGAAGTTTGCCGACCTCTGACAAAGATGAACATCACGAGATAAAGTCATGGCTCCTAAATCTCTCTGAACTGCTCTCTAAAGAGCAGCAGCAGGGGGGTAGCACAGGAAACAAAGTTGCACAGCTAGCCAGAGACATGGCACGGCTTGCTAAGTGCCTCTGCAGAGGCAGAGCCGTCCCGAAGAAGAGGAGCCTTCATGGACAGACGCTTGAGCTCGGCCTGGGAGTGATGGGTAGAATATCTACAAGCTGAACTGGGGGGACAAGCAAGGGCATGCAGTGTGCTGCCAATGGGGGCGTCCAGAGGGCCGGACGGGAGTGGGCCTGGGACCCAAACAAGGAAGACCACGCTCTGTGCTTCCCTCCTGCTGTAGAGGAGGAACCACAGGGTTTTTTTGTTTGTTTTTAATTAAACAAATGTTTTGAGTGCCTACTATGCACTAGGTGCGGTTGGAGGCATGTGAGGAGAGACGACATCCACGGCTTGCGCTTTTATCGCACCGTCAACATGTTCAAAGAGATTTAGGAGCCATGGCTGTATCTCCTCCTCACAAGCACAGAGAGATTGAACGAGCCGCCAAAGCTCTATCTCTAATTAATAGCAGACGCTCATATTCCAGAGACAAACCTCTCCACTGAGAAACAGCCTCTTATTTCTAGCGGCCTAACGAGCATCTCCATCGGGATGTCTGGATTGAGCTCAGCCTCTTCTTCCCCGCGTTAGTCTGCTAGGGCTGCCGTAACAAAGTACCACAGAGCGACTTAAGCCATAGAAATAGATTGTTCTGGAGGCCATCAGTCGGAAACAGAGGTGCCAGCAGGGCTGGTGCCTTCTGAGGGCTGTGAGGAAGAACTCTGTTCAGCCTGCTCCCCCGGCTTCTGGTGGTTTGCTGGCAGCCTTTGGTGCTCCTTGGGTGTAGACATGTTACCCTGATCTCTGCTTTCGTCTTCACAGGGTGTTCTCTGTGCTTGTATGTGTCAAAATCTCCCCCCACCCCGCCTTTTTTTTTTTTTTCATAAGGACACTAGTCATTGGATTAAGACCCACCCGAGTAACCTCACTTTAATTTCTCTGTAAAGACCCTATTTCTGAATTAAGGTCACATTCTGAGTCTTGGGGGTTAGACCTTCAACAGATCTTTTTCGGAGGACACAATTCAACCTATAATACCTCCCCAACGCTCCCCGCTCTGCCACCATATTCCACTGCTGACTGATCGGAACCCTCATTTTCCAGCCCCATTCCCTCACCAGCTAGTATCGTGGCCCGGAACTGCCCGGAGGAGGTGAGGCTAGATCACACGATGCCCTCAGAGACGGCCCCGCTGCCAAGGAGACTCCCCAGGATCTCCTCCACGACCCTGTGGAAGATGGTGGGAGGGGTGGGGAGCCGCACTGTGGAAATGTGGGTCGGGCTGCTGGAGGATGTGCAACAAATTCGTGAACCACCGGTGCTGTGGAATACCAGTGGGGGGGCAACAAGGATGTTAGAGAAACAAGCAGGTGGCAGTGAAGAGCAGATAGGAAGCAGATGCAATAACTGGAGGCGAGGGGGGAAGAGGGTCCGGGCTGCGGAAGAAGCTGTGGTAAGTTCGGAAAGGAGGCGGCGGAATCACACCTGGGAGAAGGGTGATGAGGCCAAAGAGAGGCCCAAAGGGGAAGGCCCAGCCCCGTGGGGGAACGAGGCTGGTTTAGACCCACTGAGCGTGAGATGGCAAAGCTTGGCAGATACCAAGTCCAGAGCCTGGGAGAGAGGTAGGGGCTGGAAATACGTTTTCAGAGTCCTGAGTGGATTAGGTGCCCTCGGGAAAGCAAGCAGGAGTGGAGGCTCAGCAAAGAGCTGGAACACCCCCCCACCCAGTGTTTAGTAAGAGTTGGGGGAGGAGGTCCGAGAAGGGCCCAAGAGGCAGGGGGAGAACCGAGAGAGAAGAGTGCTCCTGAGAGTGAGAGACAGGGGGCGGGTGACAGCACCAACTCCAGCAGAAGCCGCGGGCAGACCGTTCCCTGACGTGGGCAGACGGTGACACATGAGCTGGCTGTGCTCCGGGCAGAAGGAAACTGCAAACACGCCTCTCTCATCTTTTAACTGTTTATTGTATAATATAAAACTACAAAAGTAAGACTGCTCATTTCCATGTACATTTAATCTGTCCAATTGTTTAGATTACAGCCCAAACCTACATGTGAATACAACCATCTGGGTTCCGATGTAACGTCTAGTAATATTGCATAGAAAAGGCACAGCTCTCAGGTCTGTGGGGGAAAGGTTACACCTCCTGTTTGACAAAAGCCCTCCTCAAAAACCATGCACCAAACATGTCACTATGTACATCTTTTCCAAATCTTGGTTGTTTGCTCGTATGGACCGACTTCCCTTCCAAACTTGTTATCCCCAAAAGACGTCCAAAATTTTTATTGGCTTTGCTTGCAAGAGCATTTGATCCTGGCTAATTCTCAAGAACCATTCAGACTTATTCTTAGAAGCCCTGAAAACAACGGTACATAAGCAGGACGCACACACCTCACTGCCGTTGGCAGTTACTGGAAGTCAACCATTTCCAGCCGAAACAGGTTAAATATGCTCTTTTCAATTATTTTCAGAAAGCATATAAAGGTCCAATTTGTAACAGCAAGATTTTGAAATTAAGACAATTCATACAGAGAATAACAATCGCTGCACAAAGTAGAGTCTCTCTCTCTCTTATTATTATTTTTTGCACCTGTCATTTGAGAAGGCTGCCCTGCGGATTCATAATTCATTGTTTACCACAAAGGTGGTTAATAAATTTAAGCTTTAAAAATGATCCGTAAGTTGACACTTTGGCTCTTTGGAGTTTATTTATTTAAGGAATTTCCTTGATCGATCTCAGGGCAGCTGGGACACTCCAAGGGGCTATGGCAATAAACAGCACAATTGAGAAAGACACTCCGGTGGAGGCGGCTGTGGCTAGCTCTCACCCTTTGGTGTGAGCGAGGGCGTCGGTGTGGATGCCCCTTCTGTCATAAAGAGAGAAAGTGCGACTAGAAAAACTTTAAAAAATATCAACCCTTTGATGCTTGATTTTCTTAAAAATTTGGAGGTATTAAAACATTCCTCATCCATACCTTTTGCATATTTCAAATCGACCCATATTAGAGGAGAGAGTAAAAATGAACGTGGACTGTGCATACGATGAGAAGACCCAGGGGTCTGGCTCGGACCCCCTTTTAATACAGATTGACATTCCTACAGGAGAATAAATTCCTACATACATTCTGCACATGTTACGATCCAGATGTTGTTAGAGCTCCACAGTAAAATAAATATATTTACACAGAAAAAAAGGAATAAATAACTTATGAAAAAAAATCACTTCAAATTCAAAGCTCTTATTATTCTGCTCTCATCTTGTCACTTCATTGCACATCACTGTCAATAATTGTCCTCTCCCAGCCCCACCCAGCATGTCTCTCTGTCCCTCTCGTAAAGGCACCTCAAACTGCCTGCCTGACTCTGAATGCCACAGGATGTCCTTTAGAAACGGGAAGGCACTGCTGCCGGGTGGCATCTGGAAGCACGTCCCACACTCAAGCTGGGACTTGGAGATCACACACAGGCTCACGTTCTTCCCTGTCGGGACATCACTTTGTAAAAATAAGACACAAAGATAACTGGAACACTTGATGGTTTTGTTCTTTTGAAACAGGGCCACTAATTCCCCACGTCTTCCTCATTAGACCTTGAATATCAAGAATTTACGGTGAGGGTGTCCAGAGAATTAAAAAGCATTTGCGCGCTGCTGTTGGGGGTTTTTGTTTTTGATCCTGAAGCCCAGCCTTATAAACGCGGGAGAGTCAGAGAACCACGTGTGGGCAACACTTCGCTGTGCTTATTTGAACTGCTGCCCAACATATGGGATTTGTTTAAACACACGATTTACTAATCCAACCGAAGTACAGTTGTTCTAAGTTACTATCAATCAGTTTTCAACAATGGCAAATCAGCCGCCTTACCCTGTTATTGTCCGGAATAATCAACACTATTGTGCATGTACACGTATGTGTATGCAGGCGGCATGTGGAGAGTCTGCCAGGTCCTTGAGTTAGCAGAAGCATGGAGCCTGGGCGGACTTGTTCTCTACAGGAAAAGGAAGCCCTTCAAACGGACAGGCACGGTGACACCGGAAGCATCTACCACAACCCTCACCTTAACTACATGGTCCCTGGTCCTATCAAAGGGAATGACACATCTGCAGTAGTAAGAGGTGTCCGGTGGAGGGTGCTTGCTGGAGAACGGTGCAGTTTGATCGGTTTCTCACTGCTCGTCTGAGTTGATAATTAGCCTTTAAAAACACATTCAAGTTGGCGGGAGGGGGTGGGGGGGGTGAGTAAATCAGAACGTAGAGAGATTTAATCATATCATACACGAATCTTTTGCTTAGATGAGCAGTTCCTTCATCAAAGTGTATTTGCTTTGCCATGTGTATTATAAAAATAAAACTATCTATGGCTTGTTTAAAGTGCCATTTTATAAAGCTGTCTTTTTTAATTGGCCAGAAAGACTCAATTTTATCCATGGCAAGAAGTGAGCAGAATTGGTGACTGAATATTGACAAATGACCAACAACAAAGACAACAACAACAACACAAATCCCATAATTTAAAAATTCTTAAATAAATATAAAAGTTATTCCTAAAGAAGCCACCTGCATTTCAACAATATAGGTTGTAACCAGCTAAAGTACCATTGGAAGAAAGAAAAAACTGAAACGGAAAGGCCATTAACAATTTCGGCAACAAGCATGATACATTGCAAACGTTTTAAAATTAAATGTACACCGCTAGGAATAAAAAGCTAGTTCTCAAGTTCTCCTGGCAGAGAGAGGATGGCAATGGGGGAGGAGGGGAACATGCATACAAAGTCCTATCTGTGTATTTGGGTAAAACAGCCTTGTAAAGTGTAGTTAAAGCAGTTGATTTAAGAAAGCAACCAGATCGGAGGCCGTGACGTAATGGGACCAACTCCAGGTTCAGGAGCCATGCGTGTTACAAGAGTGCATCCTAGGCTGGGCCGAGGAGAGCTGGGCTCACTGTGGTGATCATGAAGATGCCATTTTCAGCACTTAGCAACAGAGGGAAAGAAAGCTCTAAGGAAGGGAAGCAGGAAAACACAACAGAGCGACATGATGGATGCCTTCTGGGGGAGAGTTCCTTCTTGACGAGCCCTAAGCGTCGCAACAGGGTTTAGTTCCATGAAGAGGTCAGTTGCTTTTCATAAAATTTTGTTCGTGTGTAAAATTTCAGGTCTTCATAAAAATTATGCCAAAAAGGGAAAGATCTGGGGTTTTGTTTAAAAAAATAAAAACAATTAAAAGCGCAGACTTGGCATAAATACAATGAGTACTTGGTAGCCTTCCCCTCCAGAGAGAGAGCTAAAGAGAACCATGACTTAAACCCCGAGCTCCATGGCCACCTCCCGCCAACTGCTTAATGCAAGTTTGATGAGCAGATGTGGCTCTGGCTTTGGAAGTCACAGTGCTGGCGGGTGTTCATGCCAGGGGGTCGGTGCTTGTGAAATTTGGGTGTGATATCTCCTGGCCCTTCTTAAAGCGCTGCGTGTGTGTGTGTGTGTGTGTGTGTGTGTGCGCGCGCGCGCGTCTGGGGACATCAACTGCGGATTGATTTGATCCAATTTTCTCTTTGCACCGAACACATATAAAACATTACAACTCTATAAAAGTACAAGTGCAACTTGTACATCTGAAGTTTGCAGGAACTATGTGAGCAAATCCTATCAAAATAGCTATCTCATATGTATAAACAGCATTTGTTTTTAGAAAAACAATATCATAAACTGCGGAATCTGTACAAAAATATAAAATAAATTTGGGCAGCAGTTTCTAAACAGCCATGTAAATGCAACACTTACGAGGAGTAGTTAATGCCTCTAAAAAGGCTGAATTGCCAAGTCAACCTATACAGGGCGAAAATGCCGGAAAAGGTACTGAGATTATCTAAATAATATATATATATATTTTCTTTTTTTACCTCTTGCAATAAAACTTATAGAAAAAATAGACAAATATGCACATGCAATTTACAGCTTTTCCAACTTATTCCTTGTGCTTCACTTGAGCTGTTTATTTTTGTCATTCCACATAGCGACATTGTCTTCAAATGTATTCTTTCCTATTCCCGGGTACTAGGTCTCTGAGGAACCACTCAAAAAAGCATATTAAAAGTGGTCATACTTGGATGAAGGCACTCCAACTCTGCTCAAAGCAAAAACTAGTGTGATCCTTTTGTAGAATGTTCTTTTTCTCAGAAAAAGGCAAGCAAGGGTACATGCACAGTGCGGAGAGCTGTCGGGGTGCGGGGTGCAGGCGACGGGCCCCGGGGCTCAGGACCCGACCAGCACCTCCATGATGTGGTCCAGCTCCGTGAGGTCCATCTTGAAAGGCTGGCTCGGGGCGACGGGCTGGCTGCTGTAGGGAGCCAGCGTCTTGAGGAGGTCGTCGGCCGACACGGGGGACATTTTTGAGGATGTCCCCGACGCGGACGTGCAGGGGTCAAAGTCGTACATGGACGTGTCAATGTCGGCAAACAGGATGTCGTCCAGGGTCAAGTCTGTCAGGAAGCCCGTGGACGTGGTGATCTCAAAGTTGCCGGGCAGGGAGTCCATCAGTTTCGGGTCGTCGGGCCGGCCGTCCTGGAGCCCCTCGGGTCTCTGCGCGCCGGGCCCGCCGGAGTCCCCTTTCGGGTCGTCGGTGGTGGCCTCTGCGGCCTCCATGGAGGTAGATGTGGGACAGAGCTCCTCGATCTCGTCCAGGGCGGAGGAGAAGCTGTCCTTTTCCGGCGGGAGGGCAGGAGGTGCGAGTCTGGCGGGGGCCGCAGGCTGCGCGGCCGGGGAAGTGCAAAACGTGTCCTGGTCGTCCTCGAGCAGTGAGGCGGGGGTGAGGCAGGCCTCCAGGGGCGCAGCGCCGCCCAGCTCGCAGGGCGCGGGCGCGGGGTGGGTGAAGGCAGGCGGTGCCTCCCGGTAGCTGGAGCCCAGCGGGTCGGCGGGCGGCGAAGAGGCGGGGAACGCGGGCCTCAGGCTGCCCTCCTGCTTCAGCTCCTCCTGGATCCGCCTCAACATGTTGTTGATGAGCACGGTCTTTTGCAAGCTGGGCTCTGTGAGGGGCCTGTGGTTGTAGAGTTTCATAAGGGAAATGTTGAAGATAGTCTGGCGCTGTAAGGTGTAAGACACCTTGGACGGACCGTCGGAGGGGGACACAATTTTGCCTTCCAGCCCATCTTCATGCTCGTCAAACTTCCGTTTTCCTCCTTTCCCCAACATATATCTGCCAAGGAGAAAGGAAGGAGATGGAATCAATCCCACAGAAAAGAATTTCTACCCTAAAAAAAGACGTGGATTCAGAGGTCAGGACCCGGACTTGAGCTCCCTGCCCAGGGTCGGTTACAACAGAGGAATTCATTGGGAAATCTACCTTTGTGTGCCGGTGGAGCAATTTTTATCACTGGGTAGTCTGTTGAATGTATTTCTTGAGAAATGTGTACAACACAGACAAGTTAAACGTTACCATGGAAACCGTGATTTTGACTTTGTGCTCCTGGGCTTGCGTTCGCATGCCTACGGCGTTACCATGCAGGTTCAACTTCCCTCCCCCAAACAGATCTATTTTTAAAGCCCAAGAAAACACTGACAATACTATGACCTAAACAGGTAAAGGTATCATAGATTACAGCTTGAACACACCTAGAGCGATGAAAAGAACCCAGTTGGAGAAAAGGGAATATGTACAATTTTGGTAGAACCACGTGTGCTTTCAAAATGCCGTTTCCTTCCTCATCACACATAGAGCCTTTCTGCCTGTTTGGTGACATGTGGCGAAGTGCTTGGACTGTGTTAACTGACCACAGTGATTGAGCTGCCACTGCTTTTCCGTCTAGAATCAAGTGGAGGAAGGTGGATTGCCCAGCCCAAGTTTTCCCATGGCTCAATTTCATCGCATGCAGCCATGCCTGAGTGCAACTGGACTAATTTAAAAGAAATTTGCTCTGATTATAAGCATTGCTGTTTGGGTACTCGACACATTTCTTAAAACAATACCTACTGTGATTCCAGCAGGGATTTCAAAGAAACAATGACCTCCTATCTCAGACCTTGAGCACTGGGGAATGGGTTGGATTTTAACTCCTGCCTATCTCGCCTGACACGCACAGCCTCGGAGGTCTCCTTGTGTGCTCTGGCCTGAGTGGAGACGCCCTCAGCTGTCTGTGCCTTCAGGGGAGTGGTCCTTCATCTCAGAACTTCTACCAGCTAAACGGCAATCACAAGTCCACCCGCCTTTGACTCAGAGACCTCACTTTCCAACCAGTGAATCAAGAAAGCTGTCCTTACGCCGTCGTTCAGACCAGCAGACATGCTTCTAATCAAGCCAGGCCCACGCTCGCTCCCTATGCCCTCTACGCCACTTACCCACAGGCACGTGTTAATGCTCTCCTCAAGGCCACTCACTCTTTCTGATATCGTCACACACAAGAAAGTGCTTTGTAGTTATCCAGTTTTTCTTCTAAAGGCGACTTGCTTTTTACTGAATGGCCTCCTTCAATCCTTTAACTCATCCCGCATCTACGCTGTCTTGGGCACTCGGCCAGAAGGTGGGTAGTCCTGCACAGGACTAAAGCCTGGTCTTCAAGGGGCTGAACATCTTCGCGGACACCTCATTATCATTTTCAATTAGGAGTCTCATCCTAAAGGAATAAGGCTAACCATAATAAAACTTCCCAGAACTTCCTCCCAAGGCTTTGTGAAAGAAGGCCACGCTGCCCCTCCAGGCAGACAGACATGCAGGTGGACACAGAGCCCGGTGCACAGGTCCCACTCCGGGTGACTGCCTTCACGTGCCTCAGTCTCCAGGAGAGAAGGATGAAGACAGCTGCAAGCCATCAAGTCAGAATCAGCTGGAGAATTTGTTAACACTCATAAAGAATGTGGAGTTGCTTGTAGGAAACACTTTCTCTCACTTTGTAAACATTAAGAAAATGGCTGTCTATCACTAGGACCGAAGACCAGTCCCATAATTAACTGTTCTCTAAGGCAAGGAAGGTATGATAGTAACAACTCCCTTATCTAAGGCTTCACATGACAGAAACATTTCCTACTCTTCAGTGCTAAAAGCCTCATTTGTATATACACTTTGCACAGAACATTTCCTATCTAAAGTATCTGTGCCCATTTAAACTTGAGTGTGAATCAGAGAGGAGGTGACTTCATTTCACATTACAAAACACTTTCTACTTTATGCTTTAGAAGTATTACCGGACAACTGTGTTTTGAAACAGATAACTGTATTCACATATATGCCATTTGTATTGGTTTACAATTGAAGCATTTAATGTCACTTCTAGAAAAACTCCATTTTTACCAAAGAGCTCACCAAATGCATTTAATTATCATATAAAGCTGTTATATAATCTACGTTATATGCTGTAATTTGAATGTACCCAATACATCCAAACGTGTGCCAGAGTACACAAGTGCACACGCACACACACTCTAAAACAGTGTTTCTCAAAGTGTGGTCCATAGATGGAACCAGTCTGTAAACTGTTACTAGTTCATGATGAGGTAAGTAAAGATACTGCATTGTTTAGAAACTTTTATAGCAGATTTACAGAGTAATTGTATCTCTGTAAATACAATTTTTTAGGGCTTCCCTTGTGGCACAGTGGTTGAGAATCTGCCTGCCAATGCAGGGGACACGGGTTCGAGCCCTGGTCCGGGAAGATCCCACATGCCGCGGAGCGGCTCGTCCTGTGAGCCATGGCTGCTGAGGCTGCGCGTCCGGAGCCTGTGCTCCGCAACGGAAGAGGCCACAACAGTGAGAGGCCCAAGTACCGCAAAAAAAAAAAAAAAATACAATTTTTTAAAACGAGGCTTCTATTTTTACATTTTTGTACTCTTATTTCATTTTTCTAGTCATTATTTTTGTCATGTTTTTCTAAAGTATCAGTCTATAAAGGAGGAAAACACAAACAAGATCGTCCTTCATCACAGAAAGTTTGAGAAGCACTGTCCCAAAATGTAAACCAAATACACAGCTCAAAACAAATTAGTAAGCTCATCGCCACTTAAAATTTTTACCGGTTTTCTGGAGAAGTAACCCTTAGAAAAGACAACGTAGACTTTTCCTTTCTTTTTGTCATTCATGCACAGCTGTCTTTTAAGGACTTGTTCACAGGAAAAAACAACAGGGCTTTTCCAATAACTCATACTTCTCTAGAAATAATCACTGAGCACATAGAACTTAAATACTTAAAAAGCACGTGGTACTAGAGGCATTTAGCAGAATTCCCATTGCTGCGGGAGATCTATGGAGATACTTTTCAGAGAGATTTCAACATGAGAAGCGCCTAATTTCCAATTAGAATGATCTAGCTGGTCATAGCTGTGTGATAATCTTAATGATTTAGGGAAAGCCTGGTAAGACTTTCGTAATGCTCTCTGGAAGGGGACAGAGGAGGGCCCATGTAAGCAAAATCTGTGAGCGCGAATAGGCAAGACGAGTCGAATCCTGGACGCTTCTCAAATGTGTAAATAAGGACTCATGATAGAGTATGTATGGCTCCAAGCAGGTTTGCCTTCATTTTTCTATTTCATTTTACGAGGCAACACTGCTCTACACACCCAGTAAGATTGCAAAATGCACACAATCCCGACTTGTAATCTGAAGTCTATCTACATTTTTACAGAAAGGAGTGAAAAACAACATAGTAAAATCTAATCCACACTCCTACGTAGAACCTTAACGTTAAAAAAAGTTTTTTTTTAATTTAAAATTTGTAAAAAATTAAAGTTTTCCTAAAGTTTGCTTAACACACTGTTGAGAGTCCCGTCTGCCCACGTTCAGAAGAGGCCTCCAGCTCCTGGAAGTGAGAAGGACCCTCACTCGGTGCTGTGTGAACGCCACACCTTGGAGCAGACACAATTCAAAGAAAAGACAAGCTTCGCAGGAACCCAAGGGCCAGGCTGCCTGAAGCCTTTTCCTCGGGCGCGCTAAGACAACAGCAATAGCTCTTCAGGCCACTGGAGAGGCAGGTGACTTTTTTTTTTTTTTTTTTTTTTTTTTTTGCGGTACGCAGGCCTCTCACTGTTGTGGCCTCTCCCGTTGTGGAGCACAGGCTCCGGACGCACAGGCTCAGCGGCCATGGCTCACGGGCCCAGCCGCTCCGCGGCATGTGGGATCTTCCCAGACTGGGGCACGAACCCGCGTCCCCTGCATCGGCAGGCGGACTCTCAACCACTGCGCCACCAGGGAAGCCCTCAGGTGACGTTTTAAAAGGCCTCACTTGGCTGCAGCCTGAGGATGGAGCAGTGGCTGGAGCTCATTAGGGGCTTCAAGCTGACAAGAGGGAAGGGGGTGTCTGCTGTTCCTGCCCGAGAGGCCCCTTGGCGGTGGACCTGGACACCAGGGTGGTAGCCTGTAGTTCACCAAAGGGGGCCTGTGATAAGTCGGTTTCCAGGCCACCCTGAGGCTTGGCGCCCCACTTTGCCTCCTCCCTTGGCTTGAGAAGACCCAGGCCCCAAAGCTCATGTCTTCTACCCAATCTTCCAGTCAAAGGCCCAGAAGGGGCCCTGAGCTTCAGGGCTGGTTAGAGATCCCCACATGGGGGAGTCAGGTGGGCGCTCCCTCCCTTTCCTGCCCACCCAGAGGGGCCTAAAACTAACCACAGCCACTCTTTTATTGAATATTCACTGGCTCTTAATATAAGGGTCCAGATAAAACACCCTCCCTCCCCAAGAAGCTTGCTAGAAAGAAACTCCTAGCATTCTATTTGCTTAACGTAAATTTTGGCAAGTAGTAACTGCAGCGATCTAAGTTTTGAAAATAGAGACCAAAACTCAAGGGTAGCAAATACAAATGAACACTTCTCTGCCGGAGTTTTCCAGGAAGTTTAATAGTGAATAAACCTCTCCAGATACTAAACCTGGCTTGCAGTTGTGCCGCTTTCATTAGGAAGGACCCTGCCCTCAAAAGCTACCATCCGCCTGGGCAGAGAGTCAAAAGTCACATGTCACTGGGAGATTCCTCAGAAGAGAAAGAACCAGAGAAACAGGAGAAGATATTACCTGTTTGGGAGTCTGCAATTCCAGATTCTGAATGGCTCCCACAGCAGGGAGTCTGAGAGATTAGTACAGACTGAGGTGACCAGGGGACTTCTGAAGGGGATAGGATCTGAGGTTTCTGTTTAAGGCGGGATTGTCTCTCAATGTCCGTTTCCCACCCCAGACAGTAAGCCCTCTGAGGGTTTCAGACTGTTCCGTTCGTCTCTGTGTTCTCAGGTTAGGGCAGTCCTTGATACACCGAAGATGCTCCAGAAAGAGTCACTGGATGAATAGTAAATGGAAAGAATGAGAAAAGACACTGAGGGACAGCCAGAGAAGGACTGTAAAACAAAGACAGAGATGTGTGTCTTTGGCTCTGACTGTAAACTTGGCATGGGAGGGAGGGTATGACAAAGGGGAAGGCTGAACGAATCTCAGAGGGCACAGCTGTACAGGGCAGACCCTGGGTAAGGAGATTTGTCAGTATCTGAGGCACAGCGGGTGGGCAGGGATGCCTCCTTCGATCTTTAGTTCTCAAACTTGGGGGAGCATCAGACTCACCAAGGGGGCTAGTTAACACAGAATGCTGCCCCCCACCCCCAAACACACACACACTATCCCAGATTCTCATTCAGTCCGTCTGGTGTGGAGGCCCAAGATGTGCATTTCCATCAAGTTTCCAGGTGATGCTGGTCTGCGGACCTCATTTTGAAAACCATGACTTCCTTTCTTCCCCATCCAGCTATTTCATATGTAAGCCTGAGAATATCTTTACTCAATTAAACTGGAGCCTAAAGGGCTTCCTTACTTGTGCCTAAGCAGGTAAGGAAAAAAAGAATGAGCAGCGTTTCTGTGATGGCAGCTGACATTAAAAAAGAAAGACTCCATGCAGAATTAAGATGTCTTCAGCTCAATTTTAATGATAAAGCTCAGCTTCTCAGACTGATATATCAGATCCCACCTGCTCACTGGGGCCTAGATTCTTCTTGCTGTGATCACAGAGTGAATGGCAGTGAGGCCTTATGCCCAATGTCCAAAGAGAAACTGGAAGAGTACCTATGTGTTAAAAGGGAGCATTTCGTAGCTTTTATATTTTTTAAGGCATTGTGGGAAAAAAATGCAAACATTAAAAGAAAAACACAAGCAATCAAAAATGTTCTTTTAAACTCAATGTTTTTCAACTGTTTAAAAGCTATGCCTTGGAAAAAAATTTTAAATCACTCTCGGAGCTGTCAAAATAAATGTTATGATTTTTAAATTAAGAATATTAAATCTACTTTTGCAAACCACCACTTCTGTCATCCCCACTAGCAACAACAAAATCCACTGCTTTAACCTGCAGCCCTCTGTGGCCACTAGTGCTTCCTAGAGGCCCAGAGCCTAGTGGCCGCTGATTGACAGGTGCACAGAGGGGGCTGTGTGGCCCCTGCGGGCAGCATCACTGCTCGGGCTTGTGAGAGGCCCAAACTGGGAGCCCTTCTCTGCGCACCACTAGGGCTGTCTTTCTGACTCGCTGCGGGTCAAAAAAAGATGCAAAAGACTGCATTATGCTTTAACTCAATTCATCCCCCCAAATAGTGATCACCCCAGATAGAAGGAAAACCCTCCATCTCATCCTACTCAGTATCTAAGGGAATTAATGCTACAAAAGGCATTTAAAAGAAGGTCAAAATTGATAGCTTAGTTCCAATTTCTGAAGGGAGGAAATGACTGGGGAAGGTATGACTGACCACATGATCAAAGAGGCAGCTGAGAGCGGAGGCAAGTGGCCGGGGAGGGAGTGGAAATGGCTCCCAGCTTAGCACATCCATCCAGGCGGAGGGATGCTGGTCCACACACAGAGGTGGGGCAGACAGGGGAGATCCCAAAAGACTCACTCCAGAACACCTCAAGGCCCGATGGTTTGTACTTCGTGTACATTTTCAAAAGCTTGTTCCAATTTCCTTTTGGAGTAGTAAGTGACAACTAGAAATCCAAGGCTTTCGAGTGTAGCAGGCTTAAGTGACGTATTGTCTCAACGGTCAGTTAACGAGGCAGAACTCAGCCCTGGTGTCTTCTGTTGGGGAAGGGTAGTTACTAGTGGGGCCCTCGGCTCCCAGAGAACTGGTCTCCTTCTACATCCTCACCAGGGTGAAGACCCTGGTGCCTGCTTTGGGATGAGTCACTGGTCTGCACACTAATGCCTGCGTCACTAAGTTCACATCTCTCAAGTGAAAGGCTCCTAATCCAGAGGGTCCCCAATCTCCGCAACTACACCATCCTGTGTGACCACTGGTGTGATTACTGGTTGCTGAGGAGTCCAGAAGTGCCCATGCTGATACTAAAAATCATAAAAACGAGGCATTTAGGGTAATGCCCATGATTCAGAACGATGATTTTTCCTCATGGATCTAGCCAGTTTGAAGAAAAAAGAAGCTGAGACATGTGACGAGTGTCTTCAAACAGGCTAGCAGAGGCGATTTCCTCACTCTGACATCCTGAGCCACCAAACCCAAAGTCCTGTAAGTGGAAACACATTCTTTCAGTTTCTTTTGGGGGCAGTAGAAGAAGAAAGGAGTGCCCCTGGCAAAACTACTGAGTGTGCGACAGTCTTCCAA